TGGCAATTGCCTAGAAATCAGTGCTATGCAAAAGGTGCCCAAATAGAACTCAAAATCGATGTAGTAAAGTATAGATTATTATAGAATATTTGTACAACGAATTTAAGTAGTTTGTCATACCTTTGGCTACATTGTTAAAGAAATTTAATCATCATGATTTTGGAAATTAAAACTGCAAAATTTGAAAAGTTATTCTATCTAATATAGTTTAATACAATTGCAATCATTGTCATTGCTTCTCTTTAAAAATATTACTTATAATTGAAATAATTACTTCCTTTTCAACCTCTTGCTTCATTTGAGCAATTGCTTATGGTGGCACCAAATTTCTTACATGTTTAATAACATCTGCTTGATCCTTGTTATTGAAGACCAAATTCTAGACCGCTATTGAAATTTGCCTCATTGAGGTGAAGTGTTGCCTCAAGGTAGATTAAAGCATAAACCTCAAACTAAAAAATAAAAAAAAGCTCATAACATTAAAGAAATTCATAATAATTCCAATAATAGTTAAAAATTTAAAAATATAAACTTTAAAAGAAAGCTAAACTAACTAATTAAAACAAAAAAAAAAATATATTATAAACTTTAAAAGAAAGCTAAACTAACTAATTAAAACAAAAAAAAAAAAAATATAATAAAATTAGTTAAAAATGCAAATGAACAAGTATTTAAATTAAAAAGAAAAGTTAAGAAAAATTAAAATAAAATTTGTTAAAAAGAAAAATGTTTGAAAATAAAATAAAAAATAACTTACAAGAAAATTAAATTGAACCAATTTAAAAAATAATCTGAAAATTAATTAAAAAAATAAAAAATAAAATTGAAAAATAAAGAAGAATAAATTGATCTAAACTTTAAACTTAAATCCTCTTATGTGTAAACTAAAAGTATTTCTTTTTTTTACGGAGATGTTAGTTTGAAGCAGTCATCTCATGCACTTTTAATCTCAATTGCAAAAAAGACTTAGCAAAGTTGAGCTTAAGGTTGTTTGAGCACAAACATGTTTATCGGAAGAATGTTTAAGCTTTATTTGAGCATGATTCAAGCTAATAGTGTTTTAGCTAAGCTTGTTTAAATTTAAGCTTGCTCAAGTTTGGTTCATTTTGTCATCATCGAGCCTAAATGAGTAGCTTGTTTATAAGTTTAAATGAGCTTTATCAAAACTTAATCATCTGAGTTGGTTGAGATTAATATAATATTTTAACTTAATTTTTAAAAAATATTTTAAAAATATTTTAAAAATAGCATATGTGATGGAAATTGATAAATATATCAAGTTAATCAACAAACATCCCCACCGATTAAATTATCTACAAGCTTCATCTTTCGAGCTCTTCTTTTTTCTTTTAAACATTACAATGTTAACACTACCTATGATGTGGTACCAAATAAACTATGTGAATCACTATATATATGTAATTAGTTAATTGAACTTCTTAACAAGCTTTAGGTCAAGTTTTATAGAAGCTTCTTAATAGGTTTGTTCCTGAGTTTTAAATGATTTTCATGATCATAATGAATTGAGCAACAAGTTGTTTAAACTTGTTGGTTTAACAATCGAATATTCATTTATTTGTTCATACTTGTTCGATTAGTTAATGGAATAATCTTGAACGAGTTTTAATCGAGCTGATTCATGACTAACTTGTCGAACATTTGGTTTATTTATATTTCTTTGAGGCATTTAACCTCAAGGCATGTGCTTTGAATGAAAAAAGGCGTAAGACTTAGGCTAAAAGAATCATGATCCTGGGGGTACTTATTGGGCACTTCATTTGTAAGGAGTGCTCAAGGCAAGCGCCTTGAGCGGTTTTTTAAAAAGGAGTTGTGTTGAATTTTTTTTTTGTCAGTGGGTTATGCCTGGATTTTAATTACTCGGAGAAAAAGTGGTGGTGATTAAGAGAAGTGCAGGTAGAAAAAGCATAGAGAAGTTCGAGAAAATGTACTGTAAGCTTAAGAAATAGGGATACAATAAAGTAGGGAGGCTATAATTGCATAAAAATGAAGCTCTTGGCTCTCCTTGAGTTTCCCTTTTTATAGACAAAGATTTAGGTTTGAGAATTATAGGAATGACTATAGAATGTGCTATACATGTAAAAAGTACAAAGTAGAATACAAGAGGTGCATAGCCTAATGGCTTGGAATCAAACTCGGATTTAAAGGTAATTATCAAACTTGGAGAAGTCGCTAGCTTTTTTGATGTTATTTCCAAGTATCTCTTTGGACCTGAGCAATCACCTGAGATGAGTTGGTTTTCTAGTCCCTAGGTAACATTTGGTGATTTTTTCATGATTTAGTAGTGTATCCCTATAGTAGGCCAATGAGTTCGCCTTTATTCTTGCGTGCGAGTTTCTTGAGCTTGATTGGCGAGTTTGTCTTAAACTTTCTTGATGGGTCCTCTTGAGACCTAGTTGCAAGTTCGTGTTGAGCTTGGCCTGCTAGTGTTTCCTTGCCTTCACTCAAACAAGCCCATTCTTAGGGTTTACATGTTGTAATTCAAGAAAATTCCTTCCATGTATTTTATTGAACACATTGTGTTTTATGTTTAGTTTTTTTTCCTTAAAGAATGTTTTACGAAAAGTGCAGAACCAAAATACAGCACATGGAAATACCCAACGCAGTGTTGGACGCTTCAAATTGATGTGACTTTTTTACCTTTGATACCAAACAGCTTGGATTTAAACCATCACCTCTCCTTTGTGAGATGGGGACAATACCTTGGGCTTATATTGGCTAATTGATAAATTTTATTTTTTCTGACTAATTTAATTACTATTTTGTAGTTTTCTATGCATACCAGAAGATTTATAAGTTTATTATTTGCTGTTATTTTATGCGGATAATTAGTTCTTCGCTCCACTACTAGAACTTTTGGCCTTTTTGTGTAGATGCTATTTATTTAATAGTTGTGTGTTATATTTAAAAGTTCTAAATTATTCAGCTTTTGTCTGAAGCCAATATCTGTTTATTATTGGTAGGAAGCTTATATTTATTACTATTTTTGTTTGTTATAGTGATGCCATCGTTCATAGTTTTTTTAAATGTTAGCTATTTCGTAGTGCTAATCATTTATATCAATTTTAGCTGATGATTTATAACAATGACCTATTAATTTGACCTAATTCATATTTATTTAGGTTTTAATTAATTATAGTAAGATTAGTAATACTAGTTAGACCCAAGGAGAAGCTGAATAAGTTAATTAGTAGTTCATACGGTGTAATCTATAAATATTAGGAATAAATAGTCTCTTTCAAATGTTGAAGCCCAGGGATTTCTTGAAAAACATTAGTAGACATGATTATTTGCAGATGCTATCCAGACCATTTGGAGAAATCAAACTGTTGATAAATTGTATCGAATTACTAAGTAGAGAAGCCCCCTAATAGGTCCAAGGTTCTCTTATATAACTTTTGCTAGCTGCCTTTGATTTGCACAGAAACATAGGTTGGCAGCACGGTTGCTTGCAGATAATGATTAGAACAACAGAGACAAACACACTCTATGATACATTGTATCATCAATTTCAAATCTTCTAAGTTGATCATGTTGGTATCATGTTAACCATTCTTCTCTGTTCATATCTAGTGAAAAATGTTTGATTGTTGTTTGCGATTAAGTGTTTTTTATGCATGCGAATTTCCCGCCTTAATCAGTAACCCTATTGAAGTAAGTTTGTAAACACAAACATATTCCTAAAACCGAATTTCATATTCTTATTCATGTCTAAAACCATTATTAAATCCTAGGTTATTTTCGACTTAGTAATCCGTGAAAAGAGAACTCATTAACATATTTGCAAATTTGGCAAAGACTAGCATATTACCACAGAATATAAAAATGAAAGTCATCCGCTCTTTATTTTTGGGATGTAATCTTTGTCCAAGACTCCTCGTTATACAGAATTTGTGGTGAGATATTGGTTTGTGACCTGTCATGTTAGCAAATGTGATTTAACTTATGTACAAACCGTTTAGCTAACTTGTGCAGAATCATTATTCTATAACTGTTGCAGTCATTCAGAAGGACGAATGATGGAATATGAACCAGGTAAAGTGGCAGGTTGTACGTTTTTGAATTTAAATATGCCGTATTTTTGGGACTACTCATGCCAATAATAAGTTGTTCCCGACGAACATTGTAACACTTCTTTATATTTAACAAATAAAGAGTACTGTGCTCATGCATTCAAAATAGCCAACAATATCTTTGTGTTTGTATTGTCCTTGATGACCAAAAAGAAAGAGGGGTTTGTACCAGCTTTGTATTTCAATTGGATCGTGCTGTACATTATCATGATTTATATTTAATTTTTCTCTTCTTTATGGCTTGCTGCTGCTCGATTCCGCTGACAGTTTTATATAGCTCATTTTTTTATGTAATAATAAATTGGGTGATTGCAGCCAGCAAAAGTCAAAGCATTCATTGATCGAGTGATTAAAAGTCCATTACATGATATAGCCATACCCCTTTCAGGCTTTCGGTGGGAGTACAATAAGGTCGCAAATATTATCATGAAAATAATTGTAATTTTTATTTGTTGGCAGTCGCTCATGCTATTAGTTTCTTGACTTGTTTTCAGGGAAACTTTCATCATTGGAGACCACTTTTTATTCATTTTGATACTTATTTCAAGACATACATTTCTTCTAGGAAGGATCTTCTTCTTTCTGACGTTAGCTTTGATGAAGACCCCTTTCCCAAACAATCTGTTTTACAAATCTTGAGAGTCATGCAGATAATTTTGGAGAATTGCCACAACAAGAGCTCATTTAGTGGTTTAGAGGTGTGCTCGACCTAACTTCTTTATTATTATTATTATTATTTTAATAACCCTAAGATGTTTTTTCTTCTTTTCACGCTAGCTTTGTACGAAGTTCATTGCAACAATTGATATAATTGAATCCATTTGCTATTAATTCATGCATTTATAATTTTCCACAGCATTTCAATCTTCTACTTGCATCGACTGATCCAGACATCATCATAGCCACGCTTGAAACTCTTTCCGCGTTGGTGAAGATAAACCTTTCCAAGCTACATGGTAGTGGGAAGTTGATCAGCTGTGGCTCTTTGAACAGCCATCTTCTCTCTATGGCCCAAGGATGGGGCAGCAAAGAGGAAGGCTTGGGTTTATATTCATGCATCGTGGCAAATGAAGGAAACCAGCAAGAGGGCTTAAGCTTGTTTCCATCAGATGTGGAAAACGAACGTGATGCAACACAGTGTCGACTGGGTTCAACCCTACATTTTGAATTTAGCACATCTGTTCCCCTAAATGCGGCATTGACAAGTGAGAAGAGCAACATGTCTAAACTCCATGTAATAAACCTTCCCGATTTGCATATGCAGAAGGAGGACGATCTAGTGATATTGAAGGACTGCATTGAACAGTTCAATGTGCCTCCTGAACATCGGTTCTCATTGCTGACAAGGATCAGATATGCACGGGCATTCCGCTCACCTAGAATGTGTAGACTATTTAGCAGGATCTGTATTCTTGCTTTCATTGTCTTAGTGCAGTCCAATGATGCCCATGATGAACTTGTCTCTTTTTTTGCAAATGAACCTGAATATACGAATGAGTTGATCCGACTTGTTCGGTCTGAAGAGTCTATTCCAGCAACCATAAGAGCACTTGCCATGCTTGCCTTGGGTGCACAGCTTGCAGCATATGCATCGTCTCATGAAAGAGCCAGGATATTGAGTGGTTCAAGCATTATATCTGCTGGAGGAAATCGTATGGTTCTGCTGAGCGTACTTCAGAAAGCCATTGCTTCACTCAGTAATCTTAGTGATCCATCATCTCCATTATTTGTTGATGCTCTCTTGCAGTTTTTTCTACTTCACGTGTTATCTTCTTCAAGTTCAAGCAGTGCCCTTAGAGTATCTGGAATGGTTCCGCCACTCCTACCACTTGTAACAGATAGTGATCCTGCCCATATGCATCTTGTGAGTTCGGCAGTGAAGACGCTTCAAAAGTTGATGGAGTATAGTAGCACTGCGGTATCAATATTTAAAGATAATGGTGGTGTAGAACTATTGTCTGAGAGGTTGCGAATTGAAGTAGATAAAATTATTGGTACGGTTGATGAGAGTAGCAGTGCTATGGTTATTGGTGATTCTTTTAGACATGATGATGATTACTTGTACTCTCAAAAGAGGCTTATTAAAATGTTACTTAAAGCATTGGGTTCTGCTACTTACTCTCAAGGAAATCCTGCAAGATCCCATAATGCCAATAATAATCCTTTGCCTGTTTCCTTATCGCTAATATTTCGCCATGTGAACAAATTTGGAGGTGACATATATTTTTCGGCTGTTACAGTTATGAGTGAAATCATACACAAGGATCCTACATGCTTCCATATTCTGGATGAAGCTGGTCTTCCTGATTCTTTCTTGTCATCGGTGGTTTCCGGGATCTTGCCTACTTCCAAAGCACTTGTTTGTGTTCCCAGTGGACTTGGTGCCATTTGTCTTAACAATAAAGGACTTGAAGCAGTCAAAGAAACAACTGCTTTGCGGTTTCTGGTGGATACATTTACAAGCAGGAAATATTTAGTAGCTATGAATGAAGGTGTTGTTCTTTTAGCAAATGCCGTGGAGGAGTTGTTACGGCATGTATCATCACTTAGAAGTACTGGTGTTGAAATTATAATTGAAGTCATTACGAAACTTGCTTCTTTAGGTGAAGATAAATGTGCTGATCCTTCTGAGGTGACAGATGAGAATACACCAATGGAAACAGATTCTGAAGAAAAAACAAATGAAGGTCATGATTTGGTCAGTGCAATGGATTTTGCTGTTGATGGTGTCAGTGATGAGCAGTTCGGTCAGCTATCTATTTTTCATGTGATGGTACTTGTTCATAGGACCATGGAGAACTCTGAAACATGTCGTTTATTTGTGGAGAAGGGAGGGATCGAAGCTCTTCTAAAACTTCTACTGCGGCCAAGCATTACACAGTCACCTGAAGGCATGCCTATTGCATTGCACAGCACTGTTGTTTTTAAGGGTTTCACTCAGCATCATTCAATTCCTCTGGCACAAGCCTTTTGTTCCTCTCTTAGGGAACATCTTAAGAGAGCTTTAAGCGGATTTAAATGCATGGCTGGCTCATGCTTATTGTCTCGAGAAACTGCTGCTGACAGCGAGATTTCTTCCTCTCTATTTGTTGTTGAATTTCTATTGTTCCTAGCTGCTTCTAAAGATAACCGGTGGATAAGTACTTTGCTTACGGAATTTGGAGATTCAAACAAGGATGTCTTGGAAGATATTGGGAAGCTCCACAGAGAAGTTCTTTGGCAGATTGCATTGCTTGAAGATTCAAATTTTGATAACGAGTTTGAAAGCTCTTCTTCTTTAAATGATGTGCAGAGGACAGATTCAAGCACGAATGAAGCGGATGAACAAAGGTTTAATTCCTTCAGGCAGTATTTAGATCCATTATTAAGGAGGAGAGTTTCTGGTTGGAATATTGAATCTCAATTCTCTGATCTTATAAGCATATATAGGGATCTTGGGCGTGCTGCTGGTGGCTCACGAAGAATTGGTTCAGAAAGCCACTTTGCTTCACGATTTACTTCCAACATGCAACCATCTATAGGAAACTCTACCGATGCTAGTACCAGTGGCAAAAGTGAAGATGAGAAGCAAAAGTCTTATTATTCTTCCTGTCGTGATATGATGCGTTCACTTTCTTATCATGTGAACCTTCTATTCATGGAGTTGGGAAAAGCAATGTTTCTCGTATCTCGCCGCGAGAACAACCCTGGAGTTTTACCCTCTTCAGTCATATCTGTTGCCACTGCAATCACCTCAATCATGCTGGATCATTTGAATTTCAGTGGGTATGTCAGCCCTTCCGAGTCTGATGTTTCCATATCTACCAAATGCCGATATCTGGGTAAGGTGATCGACTTTGTTGATGGAGTAATAACTGACAGGCCAGAGTCCTGCAATCCTATCATGGTTACTTGTCTGTATACCTGTGGGGTTTTTCAGGCTATCTTAACAACTTTTGAAGCAACTAGTCAATTGCCCTTTACACTTAATAGGATGCCAGCTTCCCCAATGGAGACTGATCATGCAAGCATAAAACTAGATAAGGAAGAAGCTGATAATACTTGGATTTATGGGCCATTGTCAAGCTACTGTGTGCTGATGGATCATCTTGTGACATCATCTTTCATTTTGTCTTCCTCTACAAAGCAGTTACTCGATCAACCTTTGGCAAGTGGTAGTATCCCATATCCACAGGATGCTGAATCATTTGTAAAAGTGCTACAGTCAAAAGTATTGAAGGCAGTGCTTCCCATCTGGACTCATCCTCATTTTGCTGAATGTAATATGGAGTTCATTAGTGCAGTGTTCTCTATCATGAAGCATGTTATATCTGGTATTGAGGTTAGAAATGCTAGTGGAACTGGCACACGGACTGCTGGCCCTCCTCCTGATGAATCAACTATATCAATGATTGTAGAAATGGGTTTTTCCCGTGCCAGGGCTGAAGAGGCTCTCAGACAAGCAGGAACTAATAGTGTTGAAATAGCTACAGATTGGCTTTTCTCTCACCCAGAAGAACCACAAGAAGATGCTGAGCTTGCCCGGGCTCTAGCCATGTCTCTTGGAAGTTCAGATTCATCTTCGAAGGAAGTTGAAGTGACAGATGCTAATAGTCTTGACAACGGAGAGGAAGCAACTCTGTTACCTGATGTTGATGACTTGTTGTTGAATTGTTTGAGACTTTTAAAGGTAAAGGAGTCATCAGCATTTGCTGTTCGGGATCTGCTTCTTATGATTTGTTCCCAAAGTGATGGTCAAAACCGGTCAAAAGTTCTCAATTTTGTCATCAATCATGTGAAAAGTTGCACTAGCACCTCTATTCATGCCAGTGGCCCAACATTATCTTCCCTTTTTCATCTACTTGCCTTGATTCTTCATGAAGATATAGCTGCACGAGAAGTTGCAGCCAAGGCAGGTTTGGTAAAAATCTCTTTAGATATTCTCTCAGACTGGGATCGGAGTTTGTATGGTGATCAAAAACTCCATGTGCCAAAGTGGGTGACTGCATGTTTTCTTTCCATAGATCGAATGCTGCAGGTTGAACCAAAATTGACTCCAGAGGCCCTTGAATTAGATCAGTTGAAGCAGAACAACTCTTCAACACGAACTCCTGTTTTGATCGATGAAACCAGAAAAAAAGATTTTTCTTCTTCTTTAGGTCTTGTTTCTGGAGATTTGGATAAACATGATAAAAAAAGACTCCTGGAGATATTATGCAGATGTATAAAGCACCAATTGCCTTCTGAAACTATGCATGTGGCACTTCAGCTGTGTGCCACCCTAACTAAAGTTCATTCTGTTGCTGTTAATTTTCTTGAATCTGGAGGTTTGCATGCTTTGCTTAGTTTGCCAACTAGCAGTCTATTTTCAGGGTTCAACACTGTGGCAACAGCAATTATCCGTCACATTCTTGAAGATCCTCACACACTGCAGCAAGCCATGGAGCTAGAGATCCGTCACTGTCTTGCGACAGCCACAAATAGACATTCAAATTCTAGATTGACGCCTCGTAATTTTGTTCAGACTTTGGCCCTTGTCATTGCCCGGGATTCTACTGTATTCATGCAAGCTGCTCAGGCTGTCTGCCAGATTGAAATGGTAGGCGATAGACCTTATGTTGTTCTTCTAAAAGACCGTGAGAAAGAGAAATCTAAGGACAAGGAGAAAGCAGCAGAGAAAGAGAAGCAGACAGTTACAGAATCTAAGGGTACTTCTGGGGATGTGAGCACAGTGGCTCCTAGCTGCGCTCACAGTAAAATGCAAGATTCAAGTACAAAAAATGCCAAGATCCATAAAAAATCGGCCCACAGTTTTACCAGTGTGATTGAGCATCTCTTGGATGTACTTATTGCATTTACTCCTTCAAAAGTTGATGATACTTTCAGTGGCTCGCTTGGTACCTCGCCATCAGAAATGGACATTGATTCTAGTTTGGCTAAGGGTAAAGGAAAAGCAGTCGCACTTCCGTCTGAAGATAGCAAAACTATTAATGAGGAAGCTTCAGCTTCTCTTGCCAAGGCTGTTTTTGTCCTGAAGTTGTTGACAGAAATACTTTTGACTTACACGCCATCCATACATGTTCTGCTTCGCAGGGATGCTGAACTTAGTACCAGCCGTAGTTCTCTAAAAGGGCTACCTTTTAATAGTGGTGGGGGAATCTTTTATCATATCATTCACAGTTTCCTCCCATATCCGGGAATCCAAAAGAAGGACAAGAAAGCTGATGGAGATTGGAGGCAAAAATTAGCAACCAGAGCTAGCCAATTTTTGGTGGCCTCTTCCGTTCGCTCTTCAGAAGGGCGTAAAAGAGTATTTTGTGAGATCAGCAACGTCTTTAATGACTTTGTCAGTGTTGCTGGTGGTTGCAAAGCTCCTGATTCAAGTATGCATTGTTTTGTTGATCTGCTTAATGATATTCTTTCTGCACGGTCACCTACGGGTTCTCATATTTCCGCAGAGGCATCACTAACTTTTATTGATGTTGGTCTGGTTCACTCGCTGACTAGAACACTTGACGTTTTGGACTTGGATCATCCTGATTCATCAAAAATAGTCACCGGAGTTGTCAAGGCATTGGAACTGGTGACGAAAGAATATGTTCATTCAGCTGATAATGATTCTTCTAAGGGTGGCACTTCATTGAATCATACTTCTGATCAAATTCAAGGAGATTCTTCTAATAATGATGGAGATAGATTCCAGTCGTTAGAAACTATTTTGCAGCCTGAACGTAGTGAAGCAGCTGTGGAGCATATGGAGCCTTTTGATTCAGTTCATACTTCTAGAAGCTCTGATGATATGGATCACGAACGGGATATGGATGGAAATTTTGCACGTGAAACAGAGGATGATTTTATGCATGAAACTTCCGAGGATGGTGGGGTCTTAGAGAATGGCATTTCAACTGTTGAAATTACGTTTGAACTGCCACACAATGCTGGTGATGATGTTGGCGACGAAGATGAGGATGAGGATATGTCTGAAGATGATGATGGGGATGAAGTTGAGGACGATGAAGATGAAGATGAAGATGAGGATGAGGATGAGAATAATGATTTGGAGGAAGATGATGTCCAGATGATGCATCCTGACACTGATCATGATGACCATGAGATTGACGAAGAATTTGATGAGGATGTTTTGGAGGAAGAAGAGGAGGATGATGAAGATGATGGTGTTATACTGAGGTTAGAAGAGGGTGTTAATGGGATGAATGTGTTTGATCACATTGAGGTTTTCAGTGGCGGCAATAGTTTTCCTCGTGGAACACTTCTTCTTGGAAGACGCCAAGAGTTCGTTTCATCATCGTCTAATCGCTTGGGTAGAGCCAATGACCATAGTGTTAACCCAGAACACCCACTGTTGGAAGAACCATCTTCGTTATTGGCTCATCGAAGAAACTCTGGTTGGTTTATTGGTTGTTTCCTTGTGTTCACAAATATTATTATTAACCTTTAATTTTACTAGGAAATGATTTTATTTTGATCATTTTTATAGTTCTCTTATATCTTCAAAGGCGAACTTATACTTTTAATGTTTCATTATTAGAAGTCAAATTTATATAATCAAATGAGTCAATTTTTGGAATATACCTGAAATTGTTATTTTTTTCCTTCAGAAAATACTGTAGATATGGCTTTCTCAGATAGGCGTCAGGATAATAATTCATCACGTATGGATGCTATTTTCCGAACATTGCGGAGTGGAAGGCACGGTCATCGTTTCAGCATGTGGTTGGATGATAACCATCATCGTAGCAACTCTAGTGTGCCTTCAGTTCCAGAAGGCATAGAGGAGTTACTAATATCCCGGTTGAGGCGTCCCACTGCAGATCAACCTTCAACTCAGGATGAATCTCTATCTCTACCTCAAGGAAAGGATGTGCCCCATCAGTTGGAGAATTCAGAATCTGGCGCAGGAGAAGCACCTGCAATGGAAAGTGGAAATAACGGCAATATGATAGTCTCATCACCTGTTTCACTGGTAGATTTTTCGGGAAATGCTCATGATGGATCTGGTGCTACAGATATAAACCAAGAAAGAGAAACATCTGGTACAAATGAACAAGTTAGTGATATGCAATATGAGCGCAGTGATGCAGTTGTGCGAGACGTGGAGGCTGTGAGCCAAGCGAGCAGTGGGAGCGGAGCCACCTTAGGAGAAAGTCTTCGGAGCTTGGAAGTGGAAATAGGAAGTGTGGATGGTCATGATGACGGTGAACGTCAAGGACCAACTGAGAGGATTCCTTTAGGTGATTTGCAGCCAGCCAATAGGGCAAGAAGATCATCAGGGATCACTGCGCCTGTAATTGGCAGAGATGCATCTTTGGAATGTGTTAGTGAGATTCCACAACATCCTCAGGAAGCTGATCAAAATGCTTTGCAGGAGGAGAACCAACTTAACAGAACTGTAGATTCAGAATCAATTGATCCTACATTCTTAGAGGCTCTTCCTGAGGAATTACGAGCTGAAGTACTTTCTTCACGGCAGAATCAGGTAGGTCAGACATCAGGTGAGCAATCTCAAGCAGATGGAGATATTGATCCTGAATTTCTTGCTGCTTTGCCACCTGATATCCGGGAAGAAGTACTAGCACAACAGCGTGCACAACGTCGGAGTCAGTCTCATGAATTGGAAGGGCAACCTGTGGAAATGGATGCAGTTTCAATAATTGCTACTTTTCCCTCAGAAATACGTGAAGAGGTAAGCCTAAATTTCTGAATTTCCATCTTTTCTCTAACGTAAGAGGGATTTTTGAAGTGTTGTTGATGCTTTTTTTTGTTATTTTCATTTTTACAGATTCTATGATAATCATATTCTTTTTGAGATCTTTTGATAGATGCAAAAATTTACTAAATATCATTTGTTTTCAGGTGCTTCTGACCTCTCCTGATACTCTATTGGCCACTCTAACACCTGCACTTGTTGCCGAAGCCAATATGCTACGTGAGAGGTTTGCACATAGGTATCATAGTAGTGCACTCCTTGGTATGCAGTCTAGATCTAGGCGTGGTGAGTCCTCTAGACGTGGTGACCTGGTTGGATCGAACACGGAACGGAATGCTGTTGAGTCTGTTTCACGCAGGTCTGCAGTTAATAAACTTCTTGAAGCAGCTGGAGCCCCGTTAGTGGACACAGTTGCCCTGAAAGCCTTGGTTAGGTTACTTCGTGTTGTTCAGGTAATATTTTTCCTTTTAAAAAATTGTCCTTTTTAAATATATTTGTTTAACTAACAAATTCACATCTAAATTGCACAGCCCCTCTATAAAGGTCAATTTCAGAGGCTTCTCTTAAATCTGTGTGCCCATCAGAAAACCAGAACATCTTTGGTGCAAATTCTGATGGATATGCTGATGCTTGACTTGCGAGGATCAAATAATCTTACAGCCGATGACATTGATCCACCATTTCGTCTGTTTGGCTGCCAGAGCTATATTATGTATTCACGGCCTCAATTCTCAGATGGTACCCGTATATCGCTTTCTGGTTTCTTGGGTGCTTTTATTATAAGTATATGCAGATAAATTTCTTGCTATAACTGATTCATAATAGTAAACTAATGTCAATGTTTAAGAATGCCATCTAGAATCTCAGCTTTTTTTAAATATGTGATTCCGAAAGTAACTGGTTGTGATTTTGCCATACATAACCTATCATTGTTAATTAATTATATAAAGGAGATTATTCATTTTTAATAATATCTATTGTTATGTTTGGAGTCAACTAGTTTTACATTGGCCATCTCACTATTTTGGTAAATTTAGGGGTGCCACCTCTTGTTTCTCGACGTCTTCTAGAAACTCTGACATTCTTGGCCCGGAACCATCAATATGTGGCAAAACTCTTACTTCATCATGAGGTGTCAGGTCCGAGAGCATCCGAAGTCGGCAAATCCAATCAAGATCGTGGCAAAGCTATCATGGAAGAAGATAAACCTGAAGACATCATTGGGAAGAGAGACTTTTCCATTGTTGTGCTGCTTAGGCTGTTGAATCAGCCATTATATATGAGGAGTGTAGCTCATCTTGAGCAGGTATCTGGCATGTACTATTTTATGGGTATTATGTATATGCTGGATTTCTTCGTTTACACGACTTAATTAATTAATAATTTTTTTTTTTCAATTTCTTAGCTCTTAAATCTTCTTGAAGTCATCATGATCCATGCGGAGGGTGATGCTGTTCTTCCCAAACAATCGGCAGGGCCTTCTGAGCAACCATTGATCTCAGAGGGTGCCATGCAAGATATACATGTGAATAACGATGCACCTTCTGTGCAACCATCTGGTTTAGCGAGTAGCACACAGAAGGTGCAGGTTGATAGTGCTTCTGCTTCTGCTGCTATTGGGGATGGGTGCTCTTCGAAGGTTGATAACAGTGAGCAGGATCCACGTGCTGTTCTTCTTGGTCTTCCACAGACGGAACTCCAGCTTCTGTGCTCTTTGTTGGCTCGAGAAGGGTATGCATGTTTGAAGATTGACATAGTTATTTTTCTCTGTGCAATGTCTTGATTCCTTTTTTACACTGGTTTGTGGTGTCACGTTAATACCTTAAATTTTATGTCTACTTTTTGTCCCTTTGCTAACAGGATGAATATTAGCTGTAAAAGTGGGGGTTATATATGTATTTCAAATCGAGTTGATTTTACGTTCTGCCATGCGGTGCAGTCATGCCCTTTTCTTTGATGATCTAATCTGTATTTAACTTTTTTTCTTCCTTTTCGTGAATATTGTATTGGGGGGTTAGGATGGACCTGATTGCATGACAATTTGTAAATAAAATAGAAAGAAGATAGTGCTCATTATTTGCCTGGAATTCTATACAGTTTCATGCTCTATTGCGGTTGTTGGAAATTTCACTATGGTTTTGATTGTGGACTTATCATCCCTCATCTTAGTGACTTATCAACCACCACTATTAAATGGCATTTTATGACTTTACTCGAAAGTTTCTCAACTTAAATCAAGTTGAGTGCCAACTTAAGCACGTCTTATTATCAAGTTCATTCAAATTGACCTGCTAACCAATTTCAAACTCATGTCACTAGCACTAATGATAGCCAAAGGCCAGTATTAGCCAGGTTCATGATTCCCAACAACTTACTTTTTCAAAATTTCAGGTGTGTGGTGCTATGTAAAGAAACACTTCAAATCCAACAGCCAAGAGTAAATAGGATTTGTAATAGAGAAATTTAAAGCATCATCCATCTCTTCAGTGTTCGCATTGTTCTAGTCATTATTCTTATATTCATTCTTCCTCAATTCTCTGTAATTTTTCTTTTTAAGTGGTTGGTTTTGCCACAATTCCAACACTCTATGTTTTGGCTTTTCTTTAACTTCTTATCATTCTTTGTCTTTCCCCTGTTATTATTGCCATTGTTGGAATGTCTCTAAAAATCATACCCTATTCTCATCATTTAAAGCTGAATTTGATATTGATATTACTTCGAAGTCTCTTTTGAACTTCCATCAGAATAATATCAGTCTTTATTAAGCCTCTGTTTTGTATTTCTTATCGAATTGTTCAAAGCACTCATATGTTCTTAATTATTCAGTAATGAAGCCAATTGATAGATGGTACATATCTCATCATCAAAATTAATCTTCACTGATATGAATTGATTAATGATCATGTTGAGCTTGTTTCGATGTTCCACCACAAAACCACCTTCAACCATTCATACATCAATATTTTTTCATTAAAATATACCTTGACATAATGAGAGCTTTGTATATTATCTGGCTTCTTTACTGTCCTCAACAATGTCAAAAGGATCTCTCTCAAGGTCTTCCTATCTATGAGATTCCTCTTGTCATCCTTCATAGTCTCAGGACGGTTGTCCAAGGAAAGTGCTTCTTGATATGTACATAATTCTCTATATTGCACCCTCCATGATATAAAGGTCATCCCATCAAACTTGGCTATTGGGTTAGATGTAAGTATTATGCCAAATGCATGGCAACCTTTTGAATATTGAAGGTTTTCTCAATCTATGGAGCATTTATGAATTCTGGCCTATAAAATAATACCTCAAAGAACTCGATGACTATCATTCTCTTACAATTAGATTTTGCCTTGAATATAGATCATTCAATGGATAGTTCAACCTGATAGTGACGTCTTTACTACTCTTTGATCTTTCAACTTAAAGAATGGCTTTACCATACCTTGAATCATTGATTTTCATCAGGATGTGTTGTTTGCTGCCACTTAATTTGCCTTATTATCAAAATTAATCTTTACCTATACCAATGGGTTCACTATCTCATTGATGTTTTTTCAGTGTTCCGTCTTTGAACCACCTTCAAATTGTTCTCTTACACTTGGATTTTGCCTTGAATATAGATTCTTTTATGTATTGTGCAGCTTGTTAGTGGCGACTTTACTATTCTTTGATATTTCAACTTTAAAAGATGGCTTTACCATTCTTTGATTCATCAATGGGTTCACGATCTCATTGAAGCTATTTCAATATTCCATTTCAAAATTACCTTCAACCATCTTTAGATTAAATCATTTTTTTAGCAAATATATCTTATGGCAAGTTATTCTTTTGCATGTCTGACAAAACCTTCATCAATTCTGCAATGGTCTCAATTGTTGCCGTTTGTGAGTCACATTTGTAGACTGTCAAATGAATCACTCCCAAAAACAGAGCATTAAACTGTTTCGACTCTTATCCTGAAGATTCTTAGGCTTATTGTCCAAGGAAAATTGTATCTTGTTAGTATATGGATAAACCTTTGTATGCACTCTTCGAAAGGCAATGTCCATGCCCATCAAATTTATTGTTCTCTAGTGTCGATCCTTTTTCACCATATAGCATAAATTAGGTGAATTTACTGCGAATGGGGATTTGCAACTGAGTTTGCATAAGGTGTTTCTTCCTATAGCATAAATTAGGCCACACAATTTTGCTTATTGATTGCATACTTAAATGTTTCCTCTGGATTAGATGCATGCGCTCTGGCAAAGAATAGTAATGTTTAATGAATTTTGTAGTTGTTTCTTAGTCTTTGGAGTATTTATCATCGCAACCAAGAAAATGATACCTTAAATAATTTATCGATTATCATGCTCTTACGATTAGATTTTCTTGAATAAAGTTTATTTTTTAATTTATGGATAGCTTAGTATTTCAAGTAATGATTTTATCAATTTTATAAATTCCTTTTAGCATTTTATTTAGCAATTGTTTTTTATTTTTTATTTTAGGATATTTCAATTTAAAATTAGGCTTTACAATTCTTTGAATCCATATTGCGTTTCTGTTAGTAGATGTATAGGGCCCATGAAATTGAGATGTGAAATACTTTTTTTTTATACTGATATTTTTTTTAACTAAACTATATCTTACCGATTTTTAATTTATTCTTAGGCTGTCAGATAATGCATATGTTCTTGTGGCTGAGGTTTTGAAAAGGCTAGTTGCAGTTGTTCCAACTTTTTGTCATCTGTTTATAGTGGAGCTAGCAAAGTCAATGCATAACTTGGTTTCATCTGGAATGAATGAGCTGCATCTTTATGGAGATGCTGAGAAGGCACTTCTTGCCTCCTCATCCTCCAGTGGGACTGCCATCTTAAGGGTTTTGCAGGCATTGAGCTCTTTAGTTTCTGCATTGCATGACAAGAAGGATCCCCAGCTCCTATCTGAAAAAGAATATGCAAATGCTCTTTCACAGGTGTTAGATATAAATGCATCATTGGAATCTCTATGGTTGGAACTCAGCAGCTGTATTAGCAAACTCGAGACTTCATCTGAATCCACTGCGGATGTGGATGTAATTGCGGGAAACTCTGCATTGACAAATGCGGGCTCATCATCTCCGCTTCCAGCCGGTACTCAGAACATTTTGCCCTATATTGAGTCTTTCTTTGTTACATGCGAAAAGCTGCATCCTGGGCAATCGGATGTAAATCAAGATTTTGCAGCTGTGACAAACTCTGACCTAGATGATGCTTCTACCAGTGGTCAAAAAGCAAGTGGGTTTTCCCTGAAAGTTGATGAAAAGTTGAATGCTTTTGTTAAGTTCTCTGAGAAGCATAGGAAGTTGTTGAATTCCTTTATTCGCCAAAATCCTGGACTACTTGAGAAGTCATTTTCTCTCATGCTGAAAGTACCTCGCTTTATTGACTTTGACAACAAAAGAGCTCACTTTCGTTCAAAAATTAAGCACCAACATGATCATCATCATCCTTCGGTGAGAGTTTCAGTCAGAAGAGCCTACATTCTTGAAGATTCTTATAATCAGCTACGGATGCGACCGCCTCAGGATTTGAAAAGCAGGCTCACTGTTCATTTCCAGGGGGAGGAGGGTATTGATGCTGGAGGCCTAACAAGGGAATGGTATCAACTTTTGTCCCGTGTTATTTTTGACAAAAATGCCTTGCTTTTCACAACTGTGGGTAATGACTCAACCTTCCAGCCAAATCCCAACTCTGTTTATCAAACAGAGCATCTCTCTTACTTCAAGTTTGTTGGTCGAGTGGTGCGTACATTTCTTCTTTTTTTACTTCTGCTGTAAACGCTTTTCAGTGGGTTTTCTGACATTCTTATCATTCTGTAGGTTGGTAAGGCTTTGTTTGATGGTCAACTTTTAGATGTCCATTTCACTCGATCTTTCTACAAACACATGCTGGGGGTGAAAGTCACCTATCATGATATTGAAGCTATAGATCCTGGTTATTACAAAAATTTGAAGTGGATGCTGGAGGTCTGCTATTTCTTATATTCACATGATTTATTTTTAAACATATTGCTGCTGCCCTATTCATTTCTTATTTTTTTTACCTTACTGCTGTTGCGTTTGCATTTTATTAATGCCCCAATAATTTATCAAGTTTTTTACTCTTGTAGAATGATATAAGTGATGTTTTGGATCTCACTTTTACCATGGACGCTGATGAAGAGAAGCTGATATTATATGAGAGGGCAGAGGTATGTGATGCTGTTGATTAATGACTATGTCTGGGACTAAAAGCTAGTTGTTATGAGGTTGCATCTACAATTTATGTTTCTATTGTTGAATCTGACTGTTTTTGTGTTTTATTTTTTATTTTTATTTATTTATTTATTTTTTTGACAAAAGAACTATAAAAGCCAGAGTATAATACAAACTTTATCAGTATATTTTCTGTAACATTTATGTACTATGTAATGTCATAATTTATGATAAATTAGTTTTACTTGGCTAAGTAAAAGTGTGTTTGCACAGGTTACCGACTGTGAGTTGATTCCTGGTGGTCGAAATATTAGAGTTACTGAAGAAAACAAGCGTGAGTATGTTGACTGTGTTGTGGAACATCGCCTTACAACAGCTATTAGGCCGCAAATAAATGCATTTTTGGAAGGATTTAATGAATTGATATCTCGTGATCTAATATCCATCTTTAATGATAAAGAGTTGGAGTTATTGATTAGTGGCCTTCCTGATATTGATTGTAAGTGGCTTCCGTTAATCCCTTTTACTTGTCTGAATCATTTTGTTTTGATTTTTGTTTTTCTAGAAATATATATGCGCCTGCGCTTTTAATTTGATAATAAAATTATTATACACTTATGGTTCTATTTTCCCCATGTTTTCTACTCTATTACAGTGGATGACTTGAGAGCAAATACAGAATATTCTGGTTATAGTAATGCATCACCAATCATTCAATGGTTTTGGGAGGTGCTTCTGGCTTTCAGCAAGGAGGACAAAGCACGATTCCTTCAGTTTGTGACTGGCACCTCGAAGGTACTTTTTGCAGTTCTGCATGTTCCTTTACCTCTTGGATGTACCACTGATTTTCCTATCTCATAATGAAATAAGAATCCGATCAGAAAAGATTGTGATCCTAACATATAACTGTGTTTACTGGAATTACGTTTTCACAACAAATTTATGATCTTTTGTGCACTAGCCACACTAGAATTACCTGAAATTAGTTTTTTTTTATTATTATTTTTTGGTAAATAAAAGCTTGAAGGAGCATTTTTTCGGTTCATGGTAATTTTTGGTGCTTTGTAAGCAGGTTCCTTTGGAAGGATTTAGTGCATTACAAGGCATATCGGGTCCTCAGAGATTTCAAATCCACAAGGCCTATGGCAGCACTAATCACCTGCCTTCAGCACACACATGGTACGCATCTTTTATTTCTTCAACTCTGTCATTCCTCTCATTTAAATAATGCATGCATATATTATCCTGATTATTAAAATATAGTTTATGGTAGCATATATGAGAAAATTTATCATCCGGTAGGTCCACTCCTTTAGATGATCTTCCAAGGTTTTCACATTTTGGTGGCCCTCGACTAATTATTTTTCCAATTCAGCTTTTTTGTTTTTTTTAGGGGCTTCACGTAATTATGAGTTTTCATGTTATTAATTAAGCACCGGTAAATGAACCAGTTTCGTTTTCTTTAAATTTTTATACAGCTTCAATCAGCTCGATTTGCCTGAGTATTCTGCCAAAGAACAGCTACAGGAGAGGTTGCTATTGGCCATTCATGAAGGGAGTGAGGGATTTGGATTCGGTTAAGTTTCAGCGGGCATCAGCGAGCTGCTCGACTCTGTACATAAAGTATAGGATGCAAGCAAGAATGATTCAGAAGAGGTCATCATAATGGAATCCCTAAAACAATCTAACCGACCCTCTCTCTCTATTTTTTCGAAGAAACAAAAGGGTTTTTTGTGGGAGGTTGGAGCAGCAGGCTTCAATCATGACCAGCATTCATAGTGTGTTCTGATTGCATTGAAGGGTTGGGATTCTTGGATCAAGTGGCAGGCTTCAAGACCTTGATGCTCTGTTTGGGTATCAGCACATATATTTACATACATTGCTTTTATGTAAATGTTATAATCTTGATTTTGGTTAATATCATTGTAGACCTTGCTTGTCCTTTACTTTATGTCATTAATAACATTGTGCTTGAACAATTTTCAGCCTAGATGATGATTTTAGCGAACGTATGGAATTCTTTTTACTATTCATTTAATTGGGTATATTGAGTAAAGATCAAATATATATGAACATGTCTTAAGTTGTCAGCAAAAATTAAATTCCTGTCATATGAAGTCTCTCCAAACTGTATATCTTAAAAATAGCTTGCAATTATATTTTAGAATTCAGAGTTCATGTGACAGGCTTTTGTCAGTATTGATGTGTTAAGTTCTCTTATAAATAGGTGAGAATTAGGTGTCACGTGTGCTGTAAGGCATAGTTTTTAGACTAATTCTTGTGATTTGTGGGTGAAAGTTTAGCAGGTTAGAAGCAAAATTGACCGAGCGCATGAAATTTAAAGACTTTGATATGGAGAAGTAATAAGAATGGGTGGTGGAGGTTAATACTAAAATTGACCTGCTGTTAAGATATTAGGAGAGAACTTGGAAAGTCATGATTTCTTTGAAGTCATTGAATGTTAAAGGTTGACCATAGAAATGCTAAAATTCATCCTTAGCTGTGTTTGTCCTGCCTGGGGATTAACTTTTTAAGGTTGGCCACACTAGAATTACCTAAAATTCTTATAGGTAATTTCATGTTTGAAAAAAAAAGCATATTTGAGCCATTTTTTATGGGTTCATAAGGTATTATGCTGCTGCTAGCCTACGGATCAGTTATGAAAGCTGCATTCGATGAAGGGTATGAAGGTATGTTTGCTTATTTTTTGTGCATCTAGGCTTCATTTTGTAATTTTTTGTGAGGATAGCTGTAAAGTTGTTATGATATAAATATATATATTTTTTGAAAGTTGATGGGGGTAAATATTTATTTTTAAGCAAGTCGGACTGCAGTTTTTTTCAAGGCTATTGAATATTAACAAATTTTATTATGTAAATTATTTTGTCCACATAAATTTTTGGAAAATAGCACGAAAGTATTCACTCAAATGCAGTTGTGGCTATTTGTAACAGAACACTGAAAAAATTGTCTCAAATGGGCCTTGAATTCTTTTGTCAGCATTCATGTTCAAGATTTATTTTGCTTCCAAGTTCATCATGTGCATGATTTCAAGAGTTTTAAAGAAGCAATGGAACCTATAAAATTTTTCAGAAAATAATTTGAATTTCAAATTGTGTATGCTTTAAATGATACTATGTTGTGTTTTAGATGATTTTGATGGGTGGAATTGGATTTGGTAAAACTTGTAGTATATGTGCGCGCTCCAAATAATTTGAATTAGATTTTGTTGTTAGCGAACAGCTCGTGTTCGGCTCGATCGCTATGTTAACGAGCCGAACACGAACAAAACTTTTGTTCGTTCGTGTTTGACTCATTTTGATTCAAAATATTGCTCATCAATTATATATATATAAATTAGATTCAAATTTTATTTTAATATAAACAATAATTTTTAAAT